GATGACGATATTGTAAAAAAAAAAAAAAAAAAAAGAGCAAGTACCAAGGTGCTTCGTGGAAACGCAGTGGAATAGAAAGTACTATAATTGACTCTGAAATGTAGTGGAGTGAGAGTTATAAGTATCCCCTCCTCCCCAAAAATGACTCAAGTAAAGTAAATAAACAAAAAAAAAAGTACTTAAGAAATCAGGCAAATGTATTTTGTCAAATCCCACCATTGATCTTATTAAACCTTAAACACCCATCAGCCATGGAGCACAATGCATTGGAAATATCAACAGTCTGCAGGAAGACTTTGAAGCTAGCTTTGCAATTTAGACACAATAGCTGCCTAATGCTAAATGCATGAATTGTTTGTAACATTTGATGTCAGCATCGTATTCACTTCACCCCTTATGTTTAGCTTATAAGTTTCCCTTAAAACTATGTCTCCATAATTAAACATCTAATAATTAAGAAGCCCTTAATTACCATTTAAAACCTGTTATTATTACTATTTTATAAAAGGATTTTAAAAAACACCACCTCATCCTTAGCCTCACCAGTCTGTACTCAAGTTTAGCAGCTATACAACATGACGTTCTTAATATGCCATTGAACGTGGTTTAATATTAAATCAAACCATACAAAAGGTATGGACACATTTGACAGCAGATAGGCAGTGAACACAGTGGGACAAAAACAAATGTCAGATTAATTCACAGGGTCTGATAATATTGGTCATGGTTATATAGATATGGAAATCACAATAAAAAATGAGCTAATCTATGATATTTGTTAGTTTGGTTTTATATTTAGGTTTAGCAAAAGTAAGCACTTTTCAACATCTTAACTTTACAACAAAATTACCTCACCTTCTTTAGTTTACTCACCTTGATTGTATTTTTTGCAAACCAAAAGATTCCATGCAGTGCAAAAAAGGTTATTCTTTACTTAGTATTTGTAATATATGCTGGCAGACACCTGTAAAAAAACATCCTCAGTCTTTGCACTTACTGCAAGTCATACCATGACTTTAATATGGCAATATTTATGTTTATCTTCACATTTCCCTCACTTCTTAATTTGCTCAGGTTGGTTCCTTCTCAAATGTGCACCTCTGTAGAAAAAAAAACTTTAATCTATTTTTGCAACTCCAGATCAACAAAAAGTCAAGCACTTGTGCTGCAGTTTCATTTTGAAGAGAATACTTCACCTCCTGCAACAGTTTCAGCTCTTTCCTTCAGCAGACAATGACCCTACAAGGAGCGCTTGACCCAAAAACAAAACACCCAGAAGCACAGGGGTCCAATAACTGCAACAACCATCCAACTGAAGTGTCAATTTTCTGAAGGGGGATCTAGTTTTACAGCTCTTTCTAAATTAAAGTTGTAATCTGATAAAATAAAGAACAGGTCCCTCTGGCACAGCAACTAGCAACTTCTCTGTGTCTCAGAAAAATTGTGCTTTATGGCATTATGTGTTCAATGTGTCTTCACTTTCAACAAGTATTTTCCACATTAAGTTAAGCAGCACATATGAAATGAGCTTATAAAAGACCCCCACAGGTAATTAAATACTTTTTTACAATAGTTAAAGAAGTCGTAATTTTAGAAATAAGAAGGGCTGAATTGTGGAATAAATCAAATGTGTCTGCATGTTGCTGTTTTTAGATCTGGTTTTTAAGTGGGCAGAAAAGTAACAGGAAAAAGCAGAGAACAAACTACAGAACAGCTGCGTCAAGAAAAGATGACATCTCAGCAAACTGACTCATTTCCACCTGGTTGGTGCTCTTTCCTCTCAGAGTGTGCCAAAACAAATGCATACTTAGTCAGACCTGCATCGGTATTCCAAAACATAAAACTAATACTGTGATGTATATTTAGGAGGCTTTTACACAGACCGATGATCAATCAAGCATTTTTTGTTCAATTTGTTTCCTTACCATAGACTTGGTGAAAGGTCTGACCAGAGTAAAGAGAAAGGTCATCAGCCACCAGCTCCTATGGATGGAGGTATACATCATGTTCCCAGGATGCAATGCATTGGAGGTCACACCATGAGGAGAGAGACGTCGGTGGAGCTCGTTGCTGAATAGGATGTTGCAGAGTTTAGCGCGGTTGTAAGCCAGCATGGACCAGTACTCCTTCTTTGGAGGGGAGAGCAGGGCCAGGTCCACCTTTCCACTTGAGTCTAACAGGTCCGTGAACCTGAAAGACAGTTCACAGGAGCCGCGTGAGTCAGTCTCTGAAGGTTTTCTGAGGGCAGATGTGTGACGCTGACTGCATACAAATCAAAGAGGTGACATGATGTTCTTTAATTGCTTGCGACAGAGCTGTTAAACTCCAGATGTTTGACAAGGCTCCTTAAACATCAGACTACTCATGTTATTATGCACCACATCACGATATTTGAACACAAGAAAACTACACTGTGTGTGTGAGTGTATGTGTGTACTTGAGAATGGGCGATTGGAACCAGAGGAACACACTCTACATATTAATCCAGTCATTAGAAAACAACCAATCAAAATGTCACCTGGGTTCCTTGTTGTGATTTTACAAGCTTGCTGCCTCTTGTTTACTGTCGCCTTCCGCAACATCCTTGCTTGGCTAAATTACAACATCTGCAGGCTTTTCATTTCATGTGCAGCAACTTCATAACTACTTTAGCAAGTCGAGGTTGGTAAATCAATTGCCTGAACACAGGCCGTTTGAGTTTTTTCCTCACTGTTTGTTTAGATGATAAACCGAAATAAATGTCTCTAGTAAAATCAAAATGAGGGTTTTTTTCAATCAGTTTGTTTCCTTGGGAGGTAAGGCAAAAACTGTTTAGCTATCAATAATTTATCTAGTGTAAATAAAAGTACAACACCGTAATAATGAAAGTGTTTTTTCTAAATAAACCACCATTTTTGAGCCAGAATAAGAAGAGGCAAGTTTGGAAAGATACAACAGAATTTAGAAAAAGGGGGGAGAAAACATGATAGAGAAACACCTTCCTGTATGGGAGAACTGCATGAAACAATTGTGACTTCTGTGTTGATATACAGGAATTAACTGTTTCTGTACATTTATTTCAAAGCTAAAGAGCATGAAAAAATAAATACTGTCTCATTTATATAGTTTTAGTGCTCTGAACACCTATAAACAGGTCTGAGGGGACTAAATGCCCAATCTTTGATGTAAAGAATGTTCTTTTTGTTTTTTTAACAAACATGGAGCCACTGCAGAAATTTCAGAAATGGTGACATGATCAGTTTTCTTTTCAATAGACGGGACTCTTGCAGTAGGATTCTCAATGAGCTGCTGCCTAATAATAGTAATAATAACACTAATTGAACTTTATTGATCTTACATTGGAGAAATTTGCCTAGCCCATCCCCTTGGGGAGCAGTGGGCTGCCATTGTGTGGCGCCCAGGGAGCAGTGTGGGGTTAGGGGGGTCTTTGCTCAGGGACCCAGAGTAGCAGTCTGTTGGAGTTGGGCTTGAGCTCAGAACCTCTGGATTCCCGGCGCAATGCCCTAACCACTAGGCCGCCACTTTCCTTAATTGCCTGATTGATTTAAAATATTAAGAATAAGAGCATGCACTATTCTTTTTTTTTTTTTTTAGAAAAACCCCTTAAAGGCATAGTGGAGGATGTTCTTTTTCTGGTTTGATCATCAAAATAAGTGGTCTTCCTAATAGTCAATTATTCTGGTGACACTACTACATCAAATTTAATTCAGACTGTACGCAAAAGGTTTTAGCATAATGACATTTTTGCATTTATTTAATTGATTTAATTCTGTCCTTGATGGACAGACCAAGGGGGGACTGACTGTCCTCTTGAACTTTCTCCATTTTCATACATTTCAGCAAACGGTTGTAGTCTTCTCACCAAGGTGCTTGCTTTTTCCAGTAGCCCGTTCCAGCCTTGTTTAGGTCTGCTATATAATGATGTTCTTAAACAGCTCTCTGGTCTCTGGAGAGGTTGCAGTTTGCCTAATTGGTGTGTTGGACAGGTGTCTTTTATACAGATAACATGTTGCTAAACTGTTAACGTTATAAATTACAGGGCGTGCATTGGTGGTGTATTGGTTAGCATGCACGACCCATAATATAGGGTCAATCTTTGAAATTAGTTAGATTGAACAAACTATTCAGAATCACCAGAAATTGTTCCCTTTAATGTCGTCTTTCTTCAGCCTTAAACATATTCACCACTGAACTACTCATGGGAGTTTTTCAAAGTAAATCAAGAACTAAGGTGCTTGAACAACTTTATCTCATTTGCTGCCTGTGCTCATAACCTTCACACTAGGCAAACTGTGTAAAACAAGCAGAATGTTGATATTTACCTAAAACTTCAACCAATTTAAGTATTACAAAAAATGTCCAGAGAACTACCAGAGGTAGTTTTATTATTTTGAGAAAATTGAAGGTAAAAACACACCCTGTATATAGCCAGAGTAAGCCTCAATGGTAAAACCTGATAAACCAACCATCCATTACTTGAAAGTCCATCTGTCCCAATCTTGTCTCATACTGGCCAGGAATTTACCAGAATGCAAGAAGCTTAAGGAACACAATATGCTACCAGGTCAGGGGTCGTACACTATCCATGAGGGAAAGCTAAATGAATGAAGGAGAATCCAGTGGACAGTGTAAATAACACAAACAAAAAAAGGGAACAACTTCAGTCGATCCAATATAGGTCTGGAATGAGGTGTACAGGAGAGAAGATGTTATATGAGATATTGTCTAAATGTCTCCTTCTTCTGGTCTGTCAGTGTGTAACCGACTCCCTCTGGTCCTGCTTAAGCCCCCTTTGAAGGAGTTAACTCCCCCAAACACATGATATGTGTTAGAAAAGCAGAAACAGGAAAACAGTATTTTACCATGTCTGTCCTGACTTTAGAAATGCATCATCCACACTTATTGGTGCCCAGCATGAAACGTAAAAAAGCTCTAAAGAAAATCACTTTTAATGGAAGGTATTTAAAATACTTTTTTTTTTTTTGATTTATTCAGTGGCCAGCCAAAATAACATTTATTAAATTTGTTTAAAAAGGGGGGGACCTCCATTGTCAAAACTAAGCAGTACTCCTTTTATTTCAATTAATTTCAGCTTATTGATATAGCACTCATTCACAACACATTATCTCAAGATACTTTACTGAGACAATTCAAATAAATCATACAAATAGACTGATAGATCAAATAGACTAGATAGATCAAAGTTTCTATCTAAGGAAATTAGCTGATTGCATCAAGTAACTGACTTTTAGGATGAGCGTGTGGCTACAGCAGATTAATTTTTATTTTGTCATCCACTCTGCAGCAATCCATCACAACAAGCATGCAGGGACATTGGAAAGGAAAAGCTCATTTTAACAGGAAGAAACCCCCAGCAGAACCAGGCTAAGTATGAGTGGTATTCTACCAAAGATGGCTGGGGGTTCAAATAGAAGAAGCAGAAAAAAGGAACACTGAAGCAGTGATCTATAAATACTTGCTGTGTTAGAACAGGTATTGGTAAACTAGCTCCATGGGTGAATTTGTATGTTTTCCTCAAACTGGCTTCATTTTTAACATACTAAAAATCATCCATGCTAGGTTTACATGAGACACCTTGCTTAGTGAGCATTCAGAACTAGTCAGAGCAGCCCAACATGAAAATCAAACAATCCACAGATGAGAAGGAACTTACACCAAAGGAAAACCAAATCTGGAGCAATTTGTTGCCAGTGCTGCAGGATATACAGTACATAGATAGGTCTTTATGGTGACTCTGCCTTCTCTTTTTTAACACCGTCTTTGGTTCAGAGCAGGTTCGTCTTTGGGTCTCAGTCTTCTTCAACTTGATTTCTTCACAGGATGTAACCTCAATGACGTCAGGTTTGTCAGATAATAGAGGATCGAGCTGGTAAGAACAGAAACCAAACTGGGAGAGCGTCTCAAAGCAGCAGGAACAGAGCTTTACACCCGTCGCCCTCTAAGTTCTTTACATGGTTGGATTAATGGGATCTTTGGATTAAACAGTGTCATTCAGTTCACCCACATTTTGTTAAAGAGGTCATTGCCTGGAAACTAAAACTAAACTAAAAATGCATGCAATGGTGTAATTTCCTTAATTAACCCTTCTCTGTAGACCACATTGAGATTAAATGTTTCGAATCAGTGCTATATAAATAAACGAAACCGAAATGAATTAAAATATCAAATTAGATCTGTTCAGAGTTTTAATGTAAGATTAAACTATTACTAAATATTATAATAGATAGATAGATATAGATAAATATACATACAGATATTTTGATTTTGACACCAGTCTTCATCAGAACTTTTTTTCTCATGGGATGTCTGACCTCAAGAGTTGTAGGAGGGCTCTATGAGGACTTCCAGGACTTGTGCACTTGCATACTTCCGGAAGATTAAATATCCTGGCAGTGAATGAACAAGTGTCTCTGATCTTGAGAAATATGCTAAGACCTTAAATCAAACAGACTGTGCGGACTCCCATAGCATTTGAGCACCGCAGCATCAAATCTTGTCACGTGCAAGACTTCAATCAAACAAATGGTGGCAGGGCTCCATCATGATTTGCTTTTTGTGACTTTTCTTTGTGTTTTTTTTTTTTTTTCCGCAGATATCAAATTCTTGCCCCTACCGTTTCATGCTTTATGAAACAATAGTTATATGATAGCTCTTGTAATAGATCTGCTAGAAAAACTGTATGTTTCTCAGATACTCAGGTCACTCTGCAGAGCTCCAATCAATCACAGCTGGTCCATCTGACTGACTGAAACCAGAATCGATGCTGCAAACGGAAAGAGAGTGGCTCTGAAACATGGCTTAGGGCTCAGGCTGACCGATCACTGCAAGACATCACACTCGTCCACTGCAGAGTTGTGGAGTGGAGTTGTTTAACAACAATAGAAGAGGAGAAAGAAAAGAGAAAGAGAGCAAGTCAGGGGGTCAGACAGAAAGGAACAGATGCTTGATCAAAGTAAATTTTAGCTGATAAGTCCATCCATCAAGCTGATGATACGTTTGATTCATAGTGACAGCATGGGGAAGGAAATGAGTTTCAGTGAGTGAGGCCGTCATGTTTGACAATACACAGTAAGTCTTATCTGTCAAATCTGTCCTGAAAACTAGCCACTGTGGCGGCTGGAACGGCGAAAGCTGAGCTGAAGGGCTGACAATTAGACGGGGTAGTTTAGGAAGATTACTACTTTAACTTTATCCATGACACTTTTCTTCAGTTTCACTGTGAATGCTGGAAATATAGTTAAATTCAGCAAGGGTAATGTTTATTTTCCTGCATATATCACATGTTTTCCTGCTGTATTGCACGTAATTTTAATCATTAAAAGCCTTTGGTTGGCTACAGTTATCTAAATCAAGCATGTTAAAGCAGCAAACCTTTAAAACATGTAGGGTGGTATCGGACAAGGGCTGAAAAACACTGCCTTAAGTCATAATCTGTAATATTGGTAAACTAATAGACTTAAATTGTGTATTCTTTCAGCTTGATTTTCCTAAATAATAATCCTAATCTGTCATGAGGTTGAGGGATAATGCTGCGTTCAGACCAAACGCTTTTGAAGATCTGCTGCTTTTTGATGGGTTTTAAACGTTGCCGCATGTTTCGCAAGTCCAAACTGGCCGACGCTGGAGATAGAAAATTTAAACTTTTGCAGTTTAGTGCAGCACATAAACCAATCAGAGACTTTCTGCATCCATGCCATGATCTCATAATCTGAGCTGTCAACCAAAAACAACCTAAAAGGTAAAGCAGAATATGTATAAAGGGGGTTAGACTCCACAAGGCTTATCTGAAAAGTCAGAAGAATTTATTTTTTTTTATGTTCAGAAACAATTAGAGTGCTTTGTTCATTAGTACTATTTCATTACTCAACTGTGGGAAACCAGTTTAAAATTAATACCTACATTACCTTAAAATGTAAAAACCTTCCAGCAAAAAATATTCAATTTAATATCCTTATACAAAAAAAAAAAGAAAACACATACATCCTCTCCTCCCTGCCCGATTTCAGACTGATTTAAATTTTCTAATGCTTGTTTTTAAAGCCCTTCATGATCTTGCTGCGTTATATTTAACTGAGATGTTGGTCTTACATCGCCCAAGCAGAGCTCTCTGGTCTTCTGATCAAATGGTTCTGAACGTTTCCACATCCCGTTATAAACAGCAGGGCGATCGTTCCTTTGTGTTTACGGTTCCCGAAACTGTGGAATAGCCTGCCACTAGGTCTGCGTGTTCTCACATATATGCCACTTTTAAAGTCCAGATTAAAGACTAATTTGAGCGTACCTGTGTGACTCCGAGGAAACAACTACAACCCTGGCAGGAGCTGAGCGACGCAGGACGTCCTGGAGACACTGGACGAGGAGGAAGTGACCAAGATGGCAGATCTGGAAGGTGGACTCAAGGCCATCTTCTGTCAAACTCCAGGGCTGAGTGCACACAGCAGCATTACACACCAGAATATGCAAAGGTCTGTAGCAAAGAAGAAGAGAAAATATATTGCAATGGTTAATTTCAAAGTGAAGCAAATAGAGTGTAAATATCAACATTAACTCAAATAAAAATCCAGTTATGCTTATACAGAATTCAAAAGGACTTCTCTTGATACTTCTCAGCCAAAAGGTGTATTTGGTCAGAATAATCTCACTAATTTGGCCGTCCCCAATGAACGGTGAGGAAATAAAGGCATTGGCTGTGCCTTTAATTCTGCTCAATGTTTGGATCGTTGCTGATGATCCACACAAATCCCTAACGATACCATGTCAGTTGGTCTGCACCAATGTCAAACTTCTGTTTTGTTTTTTTATTTGATATAAATATTTACAAGAAATATTTTTCTTATATACAGAAATCCCCATAAAATAAAAACAGTGAAGCTGTTTTGTTTTTTGGGCTCGAGACAAATAAAAAAAAAAAAAACAGTTTCAGTGGTTTAGTTGCCTTTGTCCACTAGAGCTATCTGTTGTCGCAGTGACATGAATTGTGTTGTGCCTTCATTCCTCATCCTGTGTTTGTCTCCTCCGTGGAAGTCAAGAGAAAAAACAAGATCATCAAAAACAGAGTAAAAAGCTCTTTAATGGGAGATACTGTTTTGTTTGGCTGGCAAAAATCTGCCCTTCACTTTCAGAGATCTCACCCACCCTTTTCTGTGTGGTAAAATCTTTGAAGAAAGATAGAGTGATCACTTCATCCATTTTCTGTGTGAACAATGACCGGCTTAACATCCACTTTTTTTTAGAAAGCTATTTTTGTTAATAAAACATAAAGGAGAAGGTCCTGCTATTATGAGGATTTGAGTTTTAGAGAGGTGTGGCTTCAAAACTTTTTTTTTTGTTTCAGTAAGGGTAATTTATATAAATCTGCCTTTAAATAAAATAATAATGCTAGTAGGGGTGCACTCATTTCATATTTTTAAGATTTTTAGAGGTCTGGGCTGAGAAAATGTAATTTCCCCTTTAAAGTAGCTTTATCGGTCTGCGTGGAGCTTCATCATCAATGATGAAACGATACAGAGGTTTCTAGTGAGTCTCCCCATGGCTACACAATTATAGCAGATACTGACTCCAGCTGGCTGGGATCCAACAGCAGCAGCTAACAGAAACACAATCTTAGATCATTTAAACACACTTGAGATGGAAGTTAAGTGTTTTACCACAAGCTTTGCCTAGTTGCCGTGAGAAACCAGATCCACCAGCACATCGACTGGGAAGGCTGAGCAGATAAAACCATTTGCTCCCTGAAGTCTTATATTAAAAGCAGCTGGTTTTACTCAGTAGACCAAGTTAGATTTACGTTGAGTTGCCAGCAGGTCCGCCTTCTCACGTGGCAGAGAAAGCGGATTGCTGGATTGGTCAAGGTAGTGTGAGATCCTTGTCGGTGACAGTGATGCTCCAGTGAGCTCAAAAGGCAAAGTAACACAGGCGAACAATCCAAACACACCCCACCAATTTTTAATTTCTTCCATTAGAATTAATTATGAGGCCGAAGGCAATTTGTGTACCCTGTGTTTAAGACTGCCTACTGGATTAATTAAAAACTGGATGCTGGAAAATTAATGTGTGAATTGTTATGCCTTTCTATAATGAGCCATCCCATGCTATTACATACTATACTGTACGATCACCTTCAGGCCTCTGAACACACTAGGTTCATTAAAGAGCACAAACCTAGGAACAAGTCAACTTAGAGAATGCCGACCTCAGCACATATTCAACATACCAGCAGTGGGACATTTAGGCTTTGACCTAAAATAAAAGGTAAAGAAGTCTAACTACATTGCTTTGAGGAAAAAAACCAAATGTAAATTCAGAAGCCTGAAAAAGTATTTACACCCAATGAACATTTTTACATTTTATTAGATTACAAGAGAAATGTTTGCTGCATTTTTTACTGGGATTTTATCTGAAATAAAAACACAAACAAGAGCCCAACTGTAATGGAGGAGACCCTAGAAAAGGTTTTCAGGACATTTCCCAACAGATGCCACACTCTAAAATGCATGGCATCAATTACCATTCAAATCCCCAGAGCCCATACCAGACATATTCTACTATATATATATATATATATATATATATATATATATATATATATATATATATATATATATATATATATATATATATATATATATATATATATAAAAAACATTTTTACTTCAGTATCTCTACTGGGGCAATTTCATGCACCAGGTGGGTGCACATGACTTGCTGACGCAAGTATGACTGGTACCTTATATATCAGTGAGTTACACTGGTGGAATGAACAATGTCCAATATTTACTTTTAAGCTAATAGTGGTCAATACCAATAATATATATAGCTTTGGCTGAAAATAGTAACGAACTAATTAATGACAAAAAAAAAAACTGAACAAAAGTAGGCTTTCTTTTTTTCCAGCTGAAATTTCATATACGTTTTACAACAGAGTAAGACTGATACAAATAGTAATATTTCTAGATCTAATTTTCTTGTTATTATGTTTGAAAATATGCATGATTTTCTACTCAATGTTGTTACAAACATTAAAATCCCATTGAGAAAACACTTTAAAAAATACAATAAATATTTTTGTTAGTTCAAAAATTATAAGTATTTGTTTTTTAAAAGATAATTTTCATCTCCAATTAGGAAATTACTTAGCTGAACTGAAGGTAAAATAGCTTTTTTGGAAAGTAAAGCCTACAGACTTCTTATCTAAGCTATTCAGTTATAATTCTGAGTATGCTCCCCTCTGAACCAGTCCTAAATAAATTCATCCAAGACTATGCTCTATTTACCTCCTCAGTCTTTCCATTAAATGCTTCCTTGTTCCTGCTGAAAAACGCACCCCCACAGCTTAATAAAGCTACCAACTTGTTTCACCATTCCAAATTGTTTAATGGAGATTGGAAATTTTCAACCACAAATTGATTTGGTACTCAGCTAAAATATCAGTATTTTTTCAAATTTGACCAGAGCAACTCTAGGTTTGCTGTGTCCATTACATGGTATAGACATAGAGTTAAACGCTTGATAAGTTTGTATTTTTGATTGATGTAGTGTACAGTTCCCCATAACATGTTTAAAGCCAGTGATGTTTGTTAAACAATTAGTAGAATTTATACTGTGGCTTGATTGTACCTGATAATTGGGTACATTCTTTTAAAAAGGCATTACAGGATAAAGAATATCTTTCAGACTTAAATAATGTCACTTTAACTACTTACACTTCTCATATTTATGTAATGCCGGGACAGAATCTAGAGACCCAATAATTTAGTCAACAAAAGCAGTAAATGTTCAAAGAATTTACTATAAAATAAGTCTGTGTTGGAGGAACAGGAACTGAAATTACTGTGGAGACAATTGGTTCCAAGGTAAGGCAGGTGGTCGATGTCCAGAGATCAGAACTATCCCACAGGGGCAGACAGGATAAGAAAGGAACAAAACAGGTTAAGATCAGAAGGTGGAAAAATGATTTCTGTAAATTCTACCCATACAAGCAGCTTTCGAGAATCTGGCAGTTACCCACTGACAGAGCAAGGAATATATACTGCAGCAGATCCTGGTAATTGGAGCTGAGACCAAATGCCAGTACAGCAAAGGGAGCAGGAAGTGATGTCATGGAACTGCACACAGGAGCCTCATGGGCAGGATTCATTAAAATTTCAGGATAGTTGGCTTAAAGGGCCAAAAATAAAATAATTACTTGCAAAAGTAATTCTTTTTTTAAAGAATTCTGAAAGCTATTTATCGTTCCTCTACTTCACAGTTAACCACTATTTTGTATTTTCATCACATATAAAATATGGAATATAATGTAATAAAAAGTAGCCTGTTGTGTTAGACAATGGCTAACATTTGAAGGGGTATAAAGAGGATAAAGTAACTGTGAAACGAAGGTGTGGCGAATTAAAGGCTCTGTTTAAAATATTGAAAATTACATTTGTTGTTTCTGGTCTGAAGGCCTCTGGCCTAGCACAGTGTGAAGTACACTATCATTGTGCAAAATAAGGGAAAACTCTTGGCTCAGTCCTCAAGTCGTTCACTAGAGGCTTCACAGTAACACCATGGGCTTGAACTCCTGACCTAAGTTTGTAACTTCTTCCTAAAGTGTTTACTCAGTCTAATCCTTTTTCTAGCCTCTCCGGAATTAAATGCTATGACCTTATTCTGCAAAGACAAAGGGGAAAAACAGTCTGTCACTCATAGGAGGTTAGAAATTTATCATAAAAACCTCACATAACCAACTTTTCTTTGGCCAGCAGAGAACCCCCCCACACACTCACACACACACACTCGCACCACTTAAATGTGGCTCAGGTGAGTCTGCTTGTAATGTAAAAGGCCTGTTAATTCAACTGCCCACCAGTTAGTCCCTCTCTCATAAGCGCAGGTCTAATGAATGTCTTTAATAGGTCTATTGCCGCATACCACAGTCCCTCTCTCCACATTAAGACTTCACAGAACACCATGCGGCGCGGTGCAATCTCTGCGCTGGTCAAACGAGGGTGTTAACTACCAGACCGGGAGACATCCGTTTATATATTTACTTTAAATAACCCCCGCGGGTGTGACCCCTGACCTCCATGGTAATGTAGGCCAGCAGGAAGAGATTGCCTGTGTGAGTAAGGCTTGAAGTAGCAGTCATTAACACTGGACTTTTTGAAAAAAAGGAACATTTGCAACACACACAAAGCACAGCCTCTTTCTGACCAATATTTCTCCCTAAGATCCAGAAATGAAAGCTTATAGAGATAGGAAAATGATCAAAGAATATGAGATGTAATCTCACTCATATGTCCAACATTTTGCAATTGCTTTTATACCCATCAAACCATATTTATGCATTTCATCAATTTATTTTATCGGGGCTATGTAATTATGTAATTGAGAAAAGAAAATGTAATGCTCCAATAAAAATCTGAAAAGCATGCATGTATTCCACTCTATTCCTCATTAAGAACAACAAAATGCTTTCTGAGGTCACCAATTTAATGTAATTTAACCTTAGTAAACCTAACCTATTCCTTTTGTTCACACATCTAAAATATTGGAATCAAGTGTTTCAATAATTTCTATGGCCACGGGTATATAAAATCAAGCACATTTTAATGCAGGCTGTTGCTACATAGATTTGTGAAATAATAGGTAACTTTCGGGCTGCTCAGTGGGAGACAGTGGCTAGCAGTGCTGCCTAGCAGCAAGAGGGTTCTGGGTTCGATTCCCAGCCTGGGGTCTTTCTGCATTGAGTTTGCATGTTCTCACTGGGAATGTGTGGGTTCTCTCCAGTTACTCAGGCTTCCTCCCACAGTCCAAAAAGATGACTGTTAGGTTAATTGGTTTCTCTAAATTCTCCTTAGGTATGAGTGTTTGTGTAAATGGTTGTTTGTCTCTATGTTGCGATAGACTGGTGACATTGACAGTTGGAGATAGGCACCAGCAACTTTTGCGACCCCGCATGGGCCGGTACCTGGTAGAAGACCAGGGGGTTTGGGATCACAAATGCGCTTCTGGAAGAATGGCCAAAAATTCCCATAAACACCCCCCTAAACCAGGTGGACAGCCTTTGCAGAAGAGATTAAGCTGTTTTAGATGTAAAGGTTGACCAACATCATCTGTACCCCTTTTGGGATCTCACTTAAGATCATAACTAATTCAAGGCAGCTAAGCGAATATTTTTTTGGCATTAATTGGTGGTTTCCAAACTTTTCTTGCTGGGCCTTCATTTATCATTGTTTTGTTTTCACCACTGGGTAAAGTGTCAATAAAAATAGTTTGTTCCCACAGTAACCTTGCAGAGCTGGGCATATGCAATTCAATTCAATTCAGTTTATTTATATAGCCCCAATTCACAACACATGTGATCTCAAGGCACTTTGCAGGGACAAGTCAACCAGATCATACAGTTAGATTGGTTAAAAATGTTCTACCTAAGGAAATTCAGCTGATAACATTGTCTCATTGATCCCTCACAAAAGCATGCTGCTGGGGCTAATTTGTCCATTCATCCATCCATCCATCCATTTTCCATCATGCTTATCCCTGGTGATGAGGGCTGTCAATGGGCGAGAGGCAGAGTACACCCTGGACAGGTCGCCAGTCCATCGCAGGGCAACACAGAGACAAACAGGACAAAGAACCATTCACACACACACACTCACACCTAAGGAGAAATTAGAAAAAATGTTTTCAGCCAGGGTACCCGGAGAGAGCCCACGCATGCACAGGGAGAACATGCAAACTCCTTGTAGAAAGATTCCGGGCTGGGAATCGAACCAGAACCTTATTGCTGCTGTCCCACTGTACAGCCATATTATTTTGTAAAACAATAAAATTGATGGATAATTATGTAACCTTTACCTTACAATTAATCACGCACCACTGTGTTGGACTATCACAGGGCTTTTTCCATTCAAGTCCTCAAGGTCCATCATCCAGCACCCCTTAGATTAGTCTCTATACATCTATGCACCTAAACACAATGGCTAAATTACCTCTTCAGTGTAAAGTTAGGTTCTACAGAGTCCTGCTAATGAGCTGATTATTTGATTCAGATGTGATGAAGCCGAGACTCATCTAAAAGAAGCAAAAAACCAGACCTGGAGGACTGGAACTAAATACCTCTGGTTTATTACTTACAGTCTTGTAGAAAACTAATTTCAAGCTTCAGTTTATACAGATCAAAATTAAAAGAAGTTTAAGGAGTATGAAGACTTTTTCAAAGTAACTTGCTTTAGATTAAAACTAAACAAATGCAGGAAAAAATGCAGGTAAGAACAAAGGTAGATTACAAGCTGCTCAGCAGAAATTGTATTAAGAGTTTATGTCAGCGGCGTCCTCCATCAATTACATCCCAATGAAATCGCACTGCATTCGACAATATCGATATCCAGGTAATTTCATTTCAAAGGACAGGCAATTAAAGCAGAATTGGGGTCAATAGAACACAGAGCAGCGTGAAAACCACCGACTGGAAAACTTAAAAGCGAGAGAGTGAGAAACTGGGCAACAAAAAGAAAAAGTCTCTGATTACATTTCACCTGTCAGTGACACACTGCAGGAGCATTATAGTGCACTTTGTGCCTGTGTATGAACAGTGCGGGTGGAATTGTCTGATTGGACCCGTGCATGTATGCACAGGCATGTGGCCACTGTGTTTGCGGCTCCACCGTGTGTTATGCCTGAAGATATACGTGTGGTAATAGAGTGGTGGTAGAGTCAGACAGCTGCCCAGTGCCATTCACAGCTCAGAGCTCCCAGCCTCCACTCTGCTCTGTTCGGCTTCTGATGAGAATTAATGTACTCTGACATCCCCTGGGAGTCCCCCACTACCCACCTCCACTCCAACAGCACGCTAATGAAGAAATACAACCTTGCCAAAATACTGAGGTAAAGAGAGACTGAAAGACAACATGAGAGAGAAACAGAACGAGAGAAAATAGGCAGCAGACAGATAAATTGTAAACAGTGCATCTGAAAACACAGAAACAAATATAGGATTTTAATTGTGATAAGGAGTTACAAATACATGTGTGGAAAAAGCTAGAATAAAAACTATAGGAGATTGAAGAAGGAAGCAGCGAGGTCTAGCCGTGACCTAAGATGCGTGTCCTGGACGGCCATACCCAGCCCCAGGGCTGCTACGGGCGACGGCTGCCCTGCCTCTCCCCAAGGGGCTCCCTTGACACCATCTTCTCATGCACACAAACACACACTATTCTGTCCTACAGAGACCTGCAGGTGGATGAGCAGCACAGACAACTGTATTCATGACCCCAAAATAGCAACTGAACGCCCGGGTACCGGATGCGAGAGGCGAAGCGTAAAAGCTGACCATGACAAAATGAGCGATGGAAAGCGTTCGGCCAATGTCAAGTAATCTGACACAAATACACCCACTCACTCTTGGGGTTATGTCCATATGGTGTTTATCAGTAGAGTTGAGGATGTCACTTAAGTATGCTGCATTTAGATAGACTGTTTATGTCCCTTATACACAGAAGAAGACACTTTTTACCCTTAAGTCCAAAACTATGAGGAGATTTTTATATCTAAACTGCTGCCTCACACTGCAGCCCAACCGGCAGGAACTATCATAGCAGTTTCTGTCTAAACCCTCAGAAAAGAACCACAAAAGGCCCACAGTCCAAATGTCCTTAAAAGCTATAGCTTTTTTCCCCCCGAAAAGTACTAACACTCCTTTTACTTTCTTAAATTCTATGAAATAAAAAATTAATATGTGCATTACAAGTTTATGACACACTAAAAAAAGCAACTTATAAACATGTAGTTGAAGGAAAATCCATTGTTTCTAAAGTTTTTCTATGACTTAAAATCAGAAAAGTATGACATGCACTATTGAGCTCCTTTATCCTGATTCCCCTAAATAATATTCAGTGCAAACCAACTCCCTTCAGAGGTCATTCATTTTGCAAATTGAGTCCCTCAGACTTTCTTAAAGTTCAGAATGCCAGCTTCATACAGATATTGGGATAGTTTATACTCACAGCTTCTTGGCCTTGAAAGATTCTGCAAATTCCCTGACGCTGCGAAGAGAAGCCAGGTTACACATCATGGCTTCTACTCTTGCTTTGTGCTGTTGAGAGACAATAAATAAATAAATAAATAAATAAATAAATAAATAAATAAATAAATAAATAAATAAATAAATAAATAATCATTGCAAAATAAAAGAGAAAGAAGGAAATATAAAAATGTTTTTCTCCTCCAAACAACCATTAAAAAGCTTATAAGAAAAAGACGACCAAACCATCATTCTGTTTATCAATTTAGCTAATTAAAATTTAAATATGTTAAATTCTGAGTGCTTGAATATCCAATCTGGCAGCCTTTGCTGCAGGTTTGAAAGAATAAAATAAACTTTGATTGTGTCTTTTAAGGCAAATAATGATATAAATAAAAACAATAAAATACAGCCTGGTCTCTCTCTTTTATGACCCTTTTACAAAGCAGCACATTTGCGGTGTGTAATTAGAATATTGAATATACTGCAGTTAAGTGTTGATGTTTTTTAAGTAACTAAGTAGCTTGTTTTTTTGAAGACCAAAGCAGCTTTTTCACTAACTGATAAAATCTCAGAGTGTAAACACATTAAATATGGAGTTCCACAGGGCTCAGAGTTGGGATTTAAATGTTTAACCATGAAATGTTTTTTAAAAATGTCTAGAAAAATGCAATGTAATCTGTTTTAGATGAAAAATATATTTTTGTGTTATTTTTTTTTTTTAATTATGCAGAAAAAGATGATCAAACGAAAGTAGTGACTGGTGAAGATTTCATTGGAGCAATACGTGTAGTTACCATTTAACACAAAGTTTTGAATGCTTGTTTAATTGGAATTGTCAGAGTTATTTTGTGGGTTTTTTCTGTGTTTTTTGTCTAGAATTTGTGTAAAATATAACTAATTCAAACCCTCGGAATCTGAGATATAGGACAAAATAGTAATATTATATTTGTTGTCTTTGCAAATATACTTTTAATATATTTTTAAAAAATGAGGGACACCCATACATACACTGCTGTGCTGTCATATAAGCAATATAGGCTATATAAAAGTTTTTTTCCTCTTCCTGTTCTTTGTATATTTAAGAAATTTGGGATATTATTTGGAACTTCAATTTGTGGGCTGAATATTGATGTTTAATTTATTCACACTAAAAAAGAATAAAAGTAAAAATTAAATGCTATAATTCAATCAAATAAATGAAGCAGAAAAAGCAGTTGCCATCACTTTCTTTGCTGTTTTTTTTTTTCTAACCTCTGCTGGATTAGCAGGAAATTAGTGCAGACTGCAGCTCAAACCACACTGTCTCTAAATGGACCACAAAGACTAACTCTGTACAGAGAGCCTATGTGTGCGTCGGTGTATGTGTGGCTCATCTTAAGCCATATGTTGGGAGACAGGCTAAGGATAAGGGAGGAGAAGAAAAGATAAATGATTTAAAAAATGAATGCATAGCTGCATTTACACACTGGAGAGGACAAGCTAAATATTCATCACCCTCTCTATTAGTGTTCCGCTCTGCTGCAGGCTAGAGGCCTCAGCCATGAAGGCCTGTAGGGCCAAATCTCTTTAAAAGTAACAAAAAAACATGTTTGTCATGGTGTCAAGAGAGAGCATTTTCTCTGTAGTCCTTTTTGCCTTGCTTCGTCTTTATTAGCAAAGGCCTTCAATAAACAGGCCCCATTTATGAAAACCCACATTGGACCTCGGCATATGTTAGCAGAAGAGTGAGCGGTACGAAGTGAGACAGAGCATCCCTGGCAACCTTTTCTCCAAGTTTGACTCTTTCCTTCGCAGCACACCCTATCCCAGAGCAATGCTGTCAGTTGACATAACACCCAGAAGAGCGTTCAGTTTAACACCCTCCACCACCGTCGTCGCTGCTGCTCAGCTGTCAACCTTTTTTTCACAGATATGATCTCCTGAATGCAACCATGAAAGGGTAAAGTCTCACTGCAAAGCTAAGCATTCATGGCACTCGCAGCAAGGATGATCCACAGAGCAGTAAGCATGGTGACAACAAGAAAGGGTTAAGAAATGGGATTCTTCAGGCATTTTACTGACACCTTAACTGCCCAGGGACGTATTCAAACATGCATACACAGGCACATGCACACCCCCACATGCACACAACAAATTCAATGTTGTGACTCAAGGGTAAAACCATGCCATCACACCATTAGCTATGCTTGAATTATTCTCTTGATGCCACTCTATACCATTATACGGATGCTATTACAGAACATTAAAGAGCTGATTATGACTATTATAGATATGATTATAGGGTACCTGCTTATATGATCCACACACAGCAGTAATCACAGGTGAGAGGAGACAACTGTCTAATTTAACGACTTACAAGTGCAATACGCATTTATACTTCATGTCACTTTCACATGGTCTACAAATCTAAGGTAAAGAGGGTTATTTTAAAAAGAAAAAATATTTCACTTAGAATTCTGCCCTTTAAACACGAGATGTGTTATGTTACAGTAAAAAAAAAAAAAAAAAGTTTTTGGTATAAAAGTGTGTAAAGTTTCTCTGAACAAGGTCAGGGTGTTGAAGCGGCGTGATAATTAACAGGCCACTATAAGGCCTCCTCAACAGGAAGCTGTCCATGTGTGCATGACCAGCAGAGAAGATTAGAGCAGGTGTCAGCTTGACGAACATCTCTTCTCTAGAGATTTGGAAGAAAAAAAAGAGAAGCACAGAAGGAGAAATTGAGACCAGAAGAAGGATAGAGGGAGGGCTTCAGGGGGTCCACTGGAGCAAATCCAGCAGGAAGAAGGTGAGCAGCCTGCTTTGCCCGCCTACCTACCCTCCCCCTGCAGATTGAAGTCTTGCGAAGAAAATAAAGTTTATTGCCTGGAAAGAAGAGGGGGGGAGCATGTAAAAAGCATTAAAGCTATGGAGGTGAACAATTAGACAGATGGCCAGGTTTGGGAAGGAGAAGACGAAGAGAAAAAAAAAAGATAGAAAAAGACAGGCAGATCACTGAGATACAATCGTTCAGGGTTTTTATGAGGGCCCTGACAACTTCTCTTTCTTCAAGGACAAAAGAGAAAAGTGAGGGACAGGGAAGCTTCCCTGGGTAACTCGCTGAGTGAGCATCATGGCAGACCTCAGCTTTGGCCTACAGAGTCTACTGTCGAATCCTTTGGATTTATCAATAAAAATAAAGACTTACTGTTGGGTTCTTACAAGGTTCGTCTAAAAAGATGTCACATTTTTTCTTCTTTTTTTTGTCAGTGCTACTGTACAAAGCACTCTGCACTCCATCAGGTCATGATGGTGCCTCGCAGCAGCGGCCAAAATACCGCTTTCAACAATTCAACAAAATATGCTGTTAAGAAAAGGTACAAAACAGGCCTGCTGCACTTTCCATCCATCTTTCCATCTGCATCCATCCATCCATCCATCTAAAAAAATGCTCAGAAGGGAATGTAAATAAATTACCCCCCTTTTATCAAAAGCCACCAAAAAAGCATGCAGGATGCAATTTTTATTTTATTTTACCAGAAGTAAACAGTGAACTCATGCAACAAATTATTAACCTCCACCTATATGAGCGAAAGGCTGAGGTCCTTAGAGCCTCTCCTGGTGTTTTTCTAAGGTTCAGGAGCGGCATGTGGTCCATATTGTGGAGAAGGATTGAGAAGGAGTTGAAGGTATAGTAAGGGGGGTGAGCGCTCTAATAGAATTATAACTGAGGCCATCCAATCCAATAAAATGAAGAAGTATTAAAGTGGGGGGAGGTGGCCCATCCTGTTCAATAAGACACTGGAGCACTTTGCTAACTCCTGAAACACACAAGTGGCTGTCCTCACACACACATACACAGGTACACACACTTCGTTGACCCCTTTAATAGCACAGCAGCCACCACTAATGGACGCAAGCAAGTGGAACCGCCAAATAATACACTGTCTTAATGCACTGGACTCAATCTCATCCCACACTCTGCTTATCCTTGTCAGGCTTCACTCTCATACTTTAACCCCTGGTTCCATCTACTCTCACCTTGTGCCGTTCACTACCTTACCGCCCCTTATGGATCACAAAGGCAGGGGCATCTCTTAAGGACTTCAAAGTACCCCCATTTGTACAAAACACTTACCCTCTGGACATTTGCTAATCTTTCAGCCATGATCAGGAAAAGACAGAAAAAGAACTTCACTTCTTCATATTATCTTCTTTGAAATACCACTAATGTTAGTTTAAGGTAAGAGCAATGTAGCATGGGTGTATCTTAACCAGCAGGTACAGAGAGAAGGTGTTGCAAAGGCGATGAAAGTGAATGAGCAGGGAAGAGACCATGTGAAAAGGGCACCTTATAAAAGCAATTAGAGAAATGACTTTGAGCCCTTCTTCCTGCTCTGTAGATTAGAACAGGCCTTGGAGGGAGGAACACAGAGAAACGCAGATCTGCGTGACCTTGTCTGCAACACACCCCGCTAAATTGGCCATCAGCTTTTAAGACTCGTATCACAGATTCCTATATATTTTTAGCCAAAATGGGGGAAAAAAAGAGAGAAGAAAGAAGGGGAGAAACTGTTGAACACGCAGCTCATTTATCATCCTGTCACAATTATGACGTTTGTTCATAAATACCAAGCAATCTCCTCTCCACCTGGCTAAGTCATATACACTTGTGCTTATGCATGCGCCACATAACAACAAAGAAATACGGACACGCACCACCTGCGGTGTGCATGCCTATCCAGGTCTGCGAAGGAAGAAACATCTGGCCAGGTGCACCAGAAAAGGCCGGAGAGCTGACCTCCATGCAGATAAAGGGGCCAAAGCCTCACACACTGACGGACCCTCACGTTCTGCACGTCACAGACATAGACACGCAGAAATAAACAAACACCCGTGCACAAATACACACATTTCCTTACCCTCCGACGCACAAACACAGTGCAATTAATAGGGAGGCAGGTCTCTGGTGAGGAAGAGAAACTGCCTGTTCAGCACATAGAGGCAGAATATGCAATTTCCTCCAGTTAAGTCTGTATTAAATTGATTTCTTCTTTCTCTGACATGGACTGGGCCCCCCCCTTAATGAAAGC